CCTTCCCTAAAAGTGTAAATGAAGGAGATCTTATCAAAGCTTGCCACCATGGAGAAACAATATTCCAATAAGGGACAGAAGTACTTATCGTCCTCCTTGTCTCCTTTCATAATGTCGATCACCGCTTTCGAGTCCATTTCCATAATAATCCGGACGACTCCCTTTTCAAGGCAGAGCCGTAGACCCTCCTGTAGGTCCCATAGTTCTGCCATGAAGCTGTTGGTCTTCCCAATGTTAACTGTGAAGCCCCACTCAAGCCCTCCTCAGTGTTGTGAAGGAGGTCGCCAGCCGAAGCTAACCGTGAAGATAAAGTTACTAGATGCTATACTAGAAGAAATTTATTACCTAAAGCTTCACGGTTAAATTTACTAGATGCTATAGGTAATAAGAATGTGAATGGCATAAGGCTCTTTCTCTTGCCTCGGATATGTTGACAGGAGAAATTTTATAAAAGTACTAGAAGATAAAAGTGGAAGAATTAGCATCATTCCGTTGTCGTCCAGCGGTTAGGATATTTGGCTTTCACCCAGGAGACCCGGGTTCGATTCCCGGCAACGGAACTCTTTTTAAATATTTAATACTGTGGTGAATACTCCTCGTCATAAGTAGTGATGCAAAATAAAAGCTTTTACTGTTATTAAAAAAGATAAGAGTAATGTTTTAATATTTATTTTCTAATCTTTTCTCGTATGACATGATATTAATAATTAAACTTCTTTTTGAATTAATTATGAAAGTTATTTAATTCATAAGCACACAAAACTGAAAGTTACATTATGAGAGAAAGAGAAGAGGAGAAGAAAACATGCATTTGTTAGTTCAATCGAGGTGTATGTTCAATTGTTCAAACTAGTAGCTTGGTTAGTATAAGGTGTACACTTGAGTTAAGACTAATCTTTCCCGGAAAGAATGGAGCTTGCAAAATGATGTGATTATACAACATTTATTTGTTTATATATTCATGGCAGCATGGAACAATCTTTTTGTACTTTCTTTATTTTATGGAGTACTTTATTATTATTATTATTATTATTATTATTATTATTATTATTATTATTATGTTTTTTGTTTTTTTTTTTTAAATGTGATGGAAGTGTTATCGTTTTTGAAAGTATGAGAGTATTGCAAAGATAGAGAAAATAGTGAAGATTATAAATTTGATGATGTTGAGGAAGACAAAAGTGAGATTGATGGTATAGATTTTAATAATTTTCAATGGGATTTTAAGTAGTCGTAGCAAATTAGTTAAAAATTAGTGGGCGCCAGCCAACCAACAGCCAGTCTCCGCCGCCTTTTTTGAATTATCACGCTGGATTGAAATATTCATATTTTGAATTGTCGTTGATTTGATTAGAGGGCAAATTATGCTTGACGTGCCAACAACGTATTTAATGGCAAAATGTAAATAATGGGGCAACCTTTAACTAAGTTGGCCAATTTGTGGAAAATATTTTTCAAGTCCGTTAAATTAAAATAAAAAATAATAAACTTTAAAGATTTTTACTTAGGGTGCCGGTTAGTTTGGTTCACGAATTTAACTTATTTAGAGGTTAATTGTACTTTTTTAAAAATTAGATGACATAATTATATTTTCTTATACAATTAAATGACTTATTTGACATATTCCTTTGGAGTTAATTGTACTAAATAAGTTGAACTGTAATTATTTTTTTTAATATTAATTAGGAAAGAAAAAGAAACCCCAAAAATAACACCCATCATCTTTATACACTAGTAAGCAATATATTGATTTTAGGGAGCTAAGCAAGCTAGATGGATGGAATTGGTAATGACTTCTCTAATATTCAACTTTGTAGTTGGACATGTTGATTAATGCAAGCCAATACATCATTGTCATTAGGTCTTGTGAGTTGTGACCATGACTTTGATTTATTTATTTTTTTCTTACCACTAGTATTTTTACTCGTGCGTAGTACTGAATGGATTTGTTATAATACTTTAAGAATATTTGAATTGATATAAAAATATAAATTATAACAACGCATATTATATAGTGTAGTTGATGAATTGGGTTGTATCGATTATGTTTTCTGATGTTATCCTTACTTAAATTCGAGCAAATAATTGCCCAATTACCCGTGTGATGCGCGTGCGATGTGCGTGCAATGCGCGTGCGATATGCGTGCGATGCACATATAATTTATTATTATTATATATTATAAATTAATAGATATTAGTTAATTTTCATATAACATTTTGTTACCAATAAAGCTTTATTAATTTTTTTACCAATAAATTAATTTATTAATATTAACAAAAGTTTGAGTGGGAAAGTTAAAGAGGAAGATTTTACTTTTATTAATAAGTATAGATTAATTAATATTCATCTTAGTTTGAGCGGGAAAAGTTGAAGAGGAAGATTTTACTTTTATTAATAGTATAGATAATAGTATAGATTTTAATAATTTTCAATGAGATTTTAAGTCGGTCGCAAATTAGTTAAAGATTAGCGGGCGCCAGCCAACCAACAGCCATTCTCTACCACATCTTTTTGACTTGAAATATTCATATTTTGAATTGTCAGTTGAATTGCTTAGAGGAAAAATTATGTTTTGGACCCGAGATATATGCACAATTTTTGAACTCTATATTCACAAGTTTTGAACTCTATATTCACAATTTTAGAACGGAATATTCACAATTTTATATCTCAATATACAAAATTATAAAATTCAATTTTCACAATTGCAGAACTCTATATTAACATTTTTTGAACTCTATATTCACAATTACATAAGTCTATACTCACAATTTCATAACTCTATATTCACAATTAAAGAAATCTATATTCACAATTACAGAACTGAATATTCACTCGTTGAGTTATTTTCAATAATTAAAAAAAAAAAAAAATCATTGGCTGCGAAAACAGTACCACTAACGATACCGTTATTTTCACACGCACAAATTGCATCGTTTTGGATATAGGTCCACCTTGCAAGGTGAACCCAGATCCATGACATAATTATTGTGCTTCAAAAAAAAAAGAAGCAATAATTTATTTATTTATTATTATTATTATTTAAAAAAAAAACAAACTAAACACCCACTAGGAGCGCAAGTTTATCCCATGGAGTTTTTTTTTTTTTTTTTTTTTTTTCCCTATCCTTGAAAACTATGCACTAACTCACGTTAGAGCATAAAGCATCCTTAATAGTGTGTGTGTGTGTGTGTATATATATATATATATATATATATATATATATTTGGTGATTTTTGCTATATCGAATAGAAGAGAGAAGGAAGAGGGAAAAGGAAAAATAGAAAAAGAAAACAATTCTAACAAGAAAACCAAAAAAGAAAAAAAATTAATGGCCATTCGCGCAACAGGTGCGCATAACCAATAGTTATGCTGTGGGCTCGTGCCCAGCGTGCATCATGGGCACGGTAACAGTGCCGTCAGGCACCGTTATCTTCCTTTTTTTTTTTTTTTTTTTTTTTTTTTTTTTTAATTTAATTTCAGACCGCTTCGTTATAGGAGTATATATTCACAGCTTTGTGTTCATAATTCCATAACTGTACATTCATAATTCTATAACTGTACATTCATAATTTCGTAACTGTACATTCATAATTCAATAACTGTAAATTCATAATTTTCGAAGCTCTATGTTCATAATTGTAAGTTCATAATGTCAGAGTTCTATGTTCATAATTTCATAACTGTACATTCATAATTCCATAACTGTACATTCATAATTCCATACTGTATATTCATAATTCCATACTGAACATTCATAATTTCCGAAGCTCTATGTTCATAATTGTAAGTTCATAATTCCATAACTATACATTCATAATTCTATAACTGTACATTCATAATGTCATAACTGTATATTCATAATTTCATAACGAATATGCCGTTAACAGCGTTTCGAACAATTTTTTTTTTTAAAATTAAAACAGCGTCGTTTTCACAGAAAACGACGGTGTGAAAACGACGCCGTTTTAGCACCGTGCGCACCTTGCGCATAGCATAATTTGCCGCGCATAACAAGCACTTGCAACTTTGTTTCAGCTATGCGCACCTGCAACATTGTTTCAGGTTTTCACAATTCTAATGACCCAACAAAAATTTTGATTTTGCAGGAAGAAAACCTACTAAAAAATTCTATCTTCTATTTGTATAAAAATAACACACTTGATTTTTTCTTCCTAAAAAATTGAACAAAAACTCTTAATGGAGTTGTTCAAGAACAACCACACCAAAAAAGAATTTGGGATTATTTGCCAAGAAAGAACTCCTACAAAACTAAAGCAACAGATGTGGGTGGGAGTTATTTAAAAAAAAAAATCACCCTGCAAATTATAGAATAATGTCAGAAAAAATTAAAAAATAAAAAAAAACTGCGTCTCACTGCCCGCTCGCTGCCCAGCGCAACATGCGCCCGCGCTGGGTGATTGAGAGTGGCGGCCACTCTCAATTAATTAATTAATTTTTTTAAAATTCAATTAATTTATTCAGTATGCATGTTTCATAATTCCATATGCATGTTTCTCAATTAATTTAAGTAATTAATTTTAATTATTTTTTTCTTTTATTTTGTTTTATAATTAGTTGGAGCAACAACGGCAAATCCAGTATGCATATTTCATTGTAAATACAAATTGATGTGGTTTAATTCCAGTATGCATGTTTCATAATTCCTTATGCATGTTTTATAATTCCATAATTCCATGTTTCATTAAAATTATAAATTTATAAATAAAATAGATAAAAAATAATTAAAATATAGTGGGTTAAATGGTGGGTCTAAAAAAATTGAGAAATAACTTAAAACTGACGTGGAAAAGAGTTTTTGTGATTGAGTGAGATACTGGAGGATGAGGTAGATGCTAGGGTCCACAAATAACTCATAAAAAACCCCAACTGATAATGATGCGCATAAAATGCCTAAAAAACTGTGCACAAACCCCTCAATGTAAAAAGTCACGAAAATTTTCAAAATTATACTCTGTACATTGTAAAAAGTTTGGACTAAAAATTAAAAAAAAAGGGACCTGGTATTAAGGTTTCATATTTTCAGTCAATGACACTATTCTATTCTGTGGCTCCCAATTCTGGGATTTTTAGCAGCATTTTTACCTATACTATACAAAATGTTAATCAAGCTACTTTCTATAACACAACCCCATACTCATAGACGGGAGAGCTCAGGCATCGCCTTCTTGTCCAATCTAAAACTATGTTTACCTGGCTGACGAGCTATTGTTCAACGCTATTTTCTAAACCAGAACTGTGATCTTGAACTAAATTCTCCACTGGGTTTTGTTCTGACCACACAGCTGCATCTGCATACCCAAGCTCGAAGAGCCTATCAAGGATATCATCTTCTGCTGGCTCAAGTGCCCAGTTGAAGAGCTGAAATGTTTGAAGAAAGAAGATCATACAAGCCCAACAGGATAAGAATTCACCTGTAGATGTTAGGAAACGGCTTTTCAATGATTACCTGTCGGGCTGTTGCCCTATTTTCAGGATTGCAGTCAGGACTAATTCCAATTCCCCGCAATCCCAGCCTGCTTGCTGGAAAAGCACAAATACGCACCTGAGACATAAAAGTAACAGTTGTAAATTGCTTCAAGGAGTAGATAGACATCATTACATCAATTAATGAAAGGAGAGGAGGATAGAAACTTCTGTTGCGCTTCTACTGATGATATTGCAAATTATAGATGGGACAACTCGGATTTTGCAGAATATGAATAAAAACATATAAAATACCGTTTCAGGAGCTGAAGTTGGTGGCATAAATAATGTCAAACCCCCATCAATGCAAACTCGATTTCGGAACATTGTGACAGGCCTTGGTGCAAGATATCTGACCTAAATAGCATTTAATAGTTCAAATTATGCAATAAACAAACACAATAGCTGAAGTAGCAAGGGAAGGTGTGTACCCAGGAATAAAAGAAGATGTAATGACAGCATTTATGAGGTCCTCCTTAGAATCAAACTGATCAACGAGCAAACCCCTTGGCCTCCAAAGAATCTCTGTTACAGCAACTGCAATGAAAGAAATGCTATCAACACTAGGCAAGAAGGACAAGTCAAATTTGTAAAACAGTCTAGGAGGGAAAATAATTTAGACTTACTACGAACTCTTCCATTACACCTAATATGGATGTCATCTGGCAAAGTTTCAATTAAAGTATCTCTGAGAACAGCCTGGTGTAGAAAATAATCATGTATTAGACTGTGTCATTGTGATTTGTTTACCAAAAGATAACCTATAATAAAGTTTAAGCTTTGGCAGCAACAGAATGATATCTTGAGCAGTGCACCTATATACTTTAGTCCCTAGTGACAATGCTTCCCAATTAGTTTTTTGTTCAAATTCTTACACGTAAAGTAGGTGGACTGCAGCAAATAATGACACTTTCAAGTAAAGATACTCACTGAATGGAAATAAGCCAACCCTTGTAGATGCCGCGATGCTTGGCTCTTATATACACCCAATTTAAGATCAATACTTGGTTTGTATTGAGGAAGAAAGAGTAAAAAATTTGTATATAAGATACGGAGAAACAGATATTCACATGTATACGTATATATGAAATGAACCAAAGGAAGTCGGTGCATTGTTGTCTGTAGAGAGTAAACTTTCAAGACACCTCTATGACTATATGTCTTTAAGAAATATACTGTTTTACGTAATTAAGACTTATCGATAAAACATAGCACTTGAGCAAACCATTCAATCAAACTTTCAACAAATAAGACAGCAAAAAACATGTAAATGATGTAAACAAAAGAGTTAATACCCAATTTAATCCTCGACTATAGTGATTTTTCTCGATTTAGTCCTAAACGACTTTTTGTGCTTAATTAGGTCCTCAAATTTGATGGCTTTACTCAATTGAGTCATCTGTTAAGAAAACTTGATAATTTTACCTCTATTAATACCTAATTTAGTCCTCGTAGTAGTTTTATTCAAGTTAGTCTTTGATTATAGTAGCTTTACCTAATTTAGTCATCCACTATAGTGATTTTTCTCAATGATGTGATCCTTGATTTTAACAGTCGAGGACTCAATTGGAAAAGTCGAGAACCTAATTAAGCACAAAAGTCATTTAGAACTAAATTGAAAAAATCACTATACGAACTAAATTGACTAAATTAGGTATTAATTCTATACAAAAAGATGAATGTATTTAGAATTAGATTCATATTGTTTCAACATTAAAGCATGTATACCCCAAGGCGAAATGCAGTTCCCCTAAGCCGGCAATCTTTAGCCAATTTTTTATTTGCTTGTAATGCTTCTTGCATACTGGATCCAGATGCTATTGTCGCACAAACAATAGCTCCAGCAGATGAACCAGCTAAGGGTGTTGTGTCCTGGTTCAAAACAAACGTACTGTTATGAACGAGATAAATGCAACTAAATATAATTATGATAATCTATGCTTTTGTACTAGTAAAATTTCCAGATACTGATTTTGAAGCATAGTTCTCACCGGAATTAAGCAAACTGATGCAGACTAGGAGTTTGTGATAACAAAATTTAGGAATCAAATAGAGATTACAAATGATCGACAAGGAAAATCGAAGCAATCTAAATACCTTGATGTATCCTTTCTCAATTAGGAACTGAGATACACCGAGATGGTACGGAAACAAGAGTCCGGCAGCGGAGAAGCTAAACCCGGGACTAGTAACCGCCTTTCGCCGCCGCTCGGCTTCTACATCCTTGACACTCTGCTCCCACAGAACCTCCGGCTGGACCGGGTCCTCCACCACCGTCGCAATCCCCTCCTTCCTCTTCTTCCATAAATAGCTCTCCCTCTCCGAATCATCCTTAAACATCGTCACTCGTTCCTCACCTTCCTCCGCATTAATTATTTCAGTACTACCGACGCCTCGGCGCTTCAGAATCCGTGAAGCTAGGCCAATGAAGAGCTCTCCGGTCGCTACCGCAAACGACTTCTTCTCCTCCGCCGTGGACGGCGGCGGCGGCGGTTTGGAGTTGGCTTTGGCTGAGAATTTGAGCGTGGTGGTTCTCCGGAGCGGAAAAGCGAGGCGGAGGTTGCGATTAGGGTTAGGCAGAGGGCGGAGAGGGCGAGGGTTGGAGAGGATGAGAGAAGAGAGCGAAGCCATGGATTCTTTGGCAGTTGATTAGGAAGAAGAAAGGAACTAAGGAAGTATAATTCTGTTCCATTTTTATTTTCCCATTTCGGCGATATATTTTAAGTAAGCTTACTCATACGACGTCGTTCTATTCTAATTGAGTAACTGTTTAGCCATTTTACCCCTTTCGTAAAACTTACTGTGCTAATGATGGCAAATTACCGTGTCATGCATGGTGCACACGAAATTTGATCCATAATTTTTATATTATAAATTCATAATTATTGAAGTTTATATTCATAATTATAAAATTTTATGTTCATATTCTCAATTGTTGAACTCTGTATTCACAAATCACTGAATTATATGTTCATAATTTGATAACGATACAGTTTATAAATTATGAATCTACAATATAAAAATTATGAGTCTATATTGTAGAAATTATGAATCTATAATAGAGAAATTATGGATCTAATTCCATGTGCACCTTTCATGATGCACACGGTTGCCCAACATGACGCTCGGCCAATGATACAAGATACAATTATTAGTATGCATAATAATTGTATTCAATATTATTGATGTAAGAATTGCATTTAATACAATCAATATTAGTGTTTATTGGTATAAACTTTTGATAGTGCTTCGCTAGATATATTCTAAGTTCTTCATATTTATAGTGAGATTCGGACGCCTACAATGTAGTAATACCGCCTTCAGTCGTACCATCAAAGTCAGGCGAGGAATTATTATGCTAAGTTTTTGGGGGGTTTTGATAACGTAATTTTGCTTTGAGGATATGAGAATTATTGTACGCTACACAATAATTCTGACAGATAATGTGTATTTGAGAGAATTTATATTAAAGATCTTCCAATTGGACGTACACTCAAGTCTGTTACACCGACCACGTGCAAGCTACTGATGTATGATTGGTGAAGTGGCTGTTTAAAAAAAAAAATTAAAAAATTGAAGTGACTATTATTAGTGGCAACACCTGACTAATTCCTAATTAAATGTGTTCGGAAAGAATTGTATAACAATTTTATAACCCATTAAATTTTATTTTAAAAAATTAAGAACTAAATTACTATAAAATCTTATTACGAAGGGTCACTAAAAATTGGAAAACCTCATGAATCATGCGAAGAGAGTGTAGATCAAATGCTTCTAACGTGACCTAACTTATAGTAACAAACTCAATTTCGGTTCTCTAACGCTATCTAATGAACACAATTACAAAAGACCATAATCAAATGAGATGAATTGTCACATTTTTTTTTTATCTATTATCAAAATAAATGTAACAGAACAAAACATAGTCCATAACTCGTCCGACAATCTGAAACTGTACAGAATTTAATGTCAGAGCAGAACTCCGAGGTTGAACACTGTGGTCGGAAGAGCAACCGCCAGCAACATCTGCCACGGTTTGAAGAAAGGTGCCATCCCTTTTGCATCACTACTGCAGGATACATTCTTATCATGGAATGTGCACTGTGTCTGATTTCTGCAGCAAAAAAAAAAAAAAAAAACTATTAAACACAACCTATATAATGTTTTAATTAACCTATAACGGATATAAGTAACTTATTTTTATTACTTTATAGTATTTGTAGATAATAATCGTCACGGTCTAGCTGAATAGACCATGAAATGTTTGGTCGGGACTAGTCTTGGTTGAGGAAAAACCTAAACCGACCTTATATGGTCAATCCTAATCCCGTTCAAGGTGAAAACAGAAACATAGCCAAATGGTCATGGTTGCCAACAATCATATGATTTTTTAGCTCTTGAATCACCAAAGGTTGAAAACCAGGAAAATAGATTGACAACTCCACTCGACGGATCAAGTTTTTTTATGACCATCTTTGTTAATAGTCGTGATAAAAAAGAAATTTCCTGTTCACTAAAGTGGTCGAAAAGGTTGAAAATTAGGAAAGGGTCGGCGACTCAATAGACCAAGGCCCTGTTTGGTAAAAAATTGGCTTATAGGCCAATTTTGGCCTATTGGACCACTATTAATTGTTTGATTTAGTTAAAATATCAATATAAATGTTTGGTTAATTAGCTTTTTGCAACTCCAAAAGGCTAAAATTCAAAAAGCTACTTCAAGCAACTTTTTCAATTAGCTTTTTGAAAAAAAAAATTATATCAAACAGCTATCAGCTAACAGCTAATTTACCAAACACTTTTCTACAATCAGCTAATGTTATCAACTATTTATACTCTCTAATTAACACAATCAGCTAACAGCTAACAGCTATCAACTAACAGTCATTTTACCAAACAAGGCCCAAGTTTTTCTTATAACCACATTGGTTAGTAGTTGTGATAGGGATGGAAATGTGGTCGGAATGATTGAAAATTAAGAAAACAGGGTCAAATACTGGTGCGCAGAAAAAATATATATGTTCACTTTAGGCATAATTTACACATTACTACTAATCTAGTATCGAGATTCAAAACTTGATATCTTCCTCTAATACTGTTTATTTAACCAATAAACTAAGACAGTGCGTTCTAATAGTGCATTAGGTGATTGTGTGTGTATATATACATATATGTATGTAGAAATTGATACCTGGATGAACAAAACGACACAACATAATCAGTAGCAGAGCAAGTGATGACGCTAGTAGGGTCATCAAAGGCGAAGCTGTAAGCAATAGGGCACGCGGCCTTGAAGCTCTTGGAATAGTTGGTAGGCAAACACGACGCCGGACTACTGAACGCGCCGCGACAGCAATACTCGTCGGTGTTGAACACGTTGCACGCGCTGCGGCACGCCACCGTCTTGCCGCCGGACTTCAAGGCCAGATCCGACGGACAGTTCTCCCTCAAGTCCTTGTCGCATCCGACGGCGCTGCAGTTCCCCTTGCCGTTGACCGGCTTCACCACGATCGGCAAATTGAAGCCGTCCACGAGGCTAACGTCGTAGAAATCGGTCTCGCCGAGAGTGAAATCGGCGATCGTTGCCGGCGGCTGCCCGGTTCCCGAGCACTTTAGAGCGCCGCCGCAGCTGCCGGTTTGGCAGGGGCTGCTGCTGCTGCCGTTGCTTTTGTCGAAGTTGCAGCCGGTCCGGCCCCATATCCGGCCGTTCCAGCCGGACGGAGCGGCGAACACGGCGGATTGGCCCGGTTTTAGCGCGAAACCGTCGCCGCTGTCGTTGTTGTTGGTCGTTATTCCTGGCCATACGGTCTCTTTGCAATTGTTTATAATGGTGATATTTGTACACTTTGACAATTTTACCCCTGTCCATAAAACATGTAAAAAAAACAATGTCAAAATTTTCAAAATTTTACAAAAGCATCATATGGACTATGGTGTGGCTTATGAGTTATGACTTTAATTTGACACAATAATTTAAAAAAATTATGTAAGTTACAATACCGTTACCGTGTTTTGTAAAGTTGTATCTTATGTTTTACAAGTTACACTCTCTGAGTTTTTTCTAGTAAAGCATAAGGTACAACTTTCCAAAATAATCAATACCGTATAATTTCTCCATAAAATAAGAATATACTTTTACATAGAGATTTTACACAACAATCATATTTGGTTTAGAAAAACGAGGGAAGTAACAATCATGACAAAACTCTGACAATTAAGGCAAAAAATAAAAATTGTAATCCATTTATTTTTGATCAATCGAAATTAAACATACTCTATTTATTTTTTGATCAGTTGAAACGTATCTCGATAACAACACTAAAAGCACGTGTAAGTATAATATTACTCAACACACACGAGCTTAGCTCACTGGTTCAATATGCAGTATTTGGAGAAGAGACCAAACTAGGTTTGAACGGAATTATGCCCAAAATAGGCAAATCCCTTGTGAGCACCAGCATTTGGCCCTATTTGCTGAGCCATTGAATCACCATGATTTATATCCTCTCAAATGCTATATCAGGGCGAAGTGTGAGGGCCTTAGGGAGAAGTATAATATTACTCAATTTAAAGTCGAAAATTCAGAGTTCATTACCTGAAGCAATAGCAAGCAAAAGAAGGAAGAGCTTTGGAAATGCAGTGGAAGCCATTGAATTGTAATGATCGAAGTGAAATGTTAATTAAGAGTGGGTTTATAAGGGTGAGTGAAGAGTAAAGTGAAGTGAAAGAATGCATGGAGAGGCTTCCTTTCTTCTTCACCAATCAAGTGATACCTTACTTTGTATTCCTCACAACCTAGCTTGTATTCTCCCCTTTTAGTACAATTAATACTAGTATTTTATTCAAAAAAATTACTCCCTAATATTTTGTCTCGAAATTTTACTTCATAGTTCATAGTATCAGATTTGTTTCACTAGAATATGTTGAAAATATTAGTCTCAAATTTCATATCATCAACTGTCTGTTTAATTCAAACATTAGAATCAGAATGGTAATGAGAATCAAATACTTAGTAATGGTAGTCACTTTGTTTGGTAGGAAATATAAATTGTAATCAAAATAAATAAATAATTAATTGAAAATATATAATACAGATATATATACACATACATAAATGTGTATATATATCAAAATTCCATATTTAATGCATGAACAATGACTTTTTTTTTTTTTTCTCTCTCTCTTATTTCTTTATTCCATTGTTCAAAAGTATATGAGTAGAAGGATAATGAGTTTTGTAATTACTAAAGGATTTGCAAATTTAATAGTTCATAAGTTGAATTCATTTGAAGTAGTATACTAAAAACGAATATGCAATATACATAGTACTAAAAAATGAACTTGTTATACATTAAAAATGAACTTATATATTAGTGGTTGACGATATAATAATTTGTCCAACTGTATTATTTTCTCCTCCCACAAAGGAGAGTTGTCATCCAAGCTAGGGTAATTGCAGCGTCAATGAGAGATACTACATGGTTTTCTGTCAATAGTCATATGATTGGAATAAGTAATCAATTTTAACTCGGAACTATAGTAACATTTTCACATTTAGTCATATACCCATTCAATTTGAAACCTTAGAACTAGAAATTTGACATCGAATATAATATAGTCAAATTACACTAGAATTAACTCATCCTAGTATTATACTATTATTATGATGATGATGGTGATTAATGGGTTAATAATAATTTAATGAAAAGGGAGATGGGTCTTACACTTTATACTGTGCTAGGAATAACTTGAAAAGACACAAAGAACTGCAAATAACCTGTTGTTTATCAATGATCCTCAGAGAACAGTTTAAGCTGAAGGAAGGGAGACAGGTTCACCAAGGAAGAAAGCAGGCCAAAGAGACTTCTTTAATCAGAATGGTCTGACACTGACAGTTCATCTAAAATCTCACTTCATTAGAACTCATAATAGGACAGAACAAGACATAAGGAAAATTTTGAGGTAAATAAAAGAATGAAAAGCTCTCCACATATAGTTACAGTTGATCATCCCAGTTCTTGTTGGATCACGTCGTCAATGAAACTTTGGGTATTCTCTTCTGGGTGATCATCAAGCAACGAATCCTCGTACAATTTCTCAGGCGAGAAAAACTGAAGAGTTGATAAGCTACTGTGTAGTAGTTGCTAACTATGGTCGGCTAGTTGTCACCTTTTTCCTAACTACTCTTTTTCTCCTGGTTTTTGGAGGTGCTGCTTCGCCCTCTCTGGCCGAGTCACTTTCGCCCTGTTTGATCCCGAGAAGCCCAAGCCCTGAAACAATGGTGTTCTTGGATATAAACCACTTTGAAGAAAGGTGATCACTGCCCTCGGATGGTCTATTGTAAGCCGCCTTCAAGAGATCATCTGAATGAGCGAGAGGATCGGCCTCAACACCAAGCCAAGCCAGCCTTGATGCCTCTCCTACTTGAACATTCAAAACCCTGAATTGAATGGATTTAAACAATTGTTAAATTGCGGGGATAAGGTAGATGTTGCTAATGATAATTCCATCGCTCAATAAAGATTTCCATCATGGGCTAAGAACTTATGAGATCACCTCTCCACAGATACTACAAAAAACACTGTCTTTGCATATAAAAACTGTTCCAGCGTTTCACACTTCCATATGTGCATTAACTTTCGGGTTTCTTGGTTGTTAAATGATAGTTTTCACATTTTCTGTCACTTACATTTTCAACGCTTTCACAGATGTGTTAATAGATCCGATATAGTCCCTTTTCTTTTTACAAAGTAATTATTTCAGATACACTCTAAATTAATTGTTGTCTATGATCAGGCAAATATTTCTTAGATCTTTCTAGGAGAGAGGGGGTGGGGGACTGGGGGTGAATTTTTCCACTTTCTTCTTCAAACTTGTATAATCAGATAAAGCTAGAAAGACTTAAAATTGTAGGGTAGTGTTCCACATTGATCTGGTACTTCGATAAATACATACCTAAGGGCAGTTCCAAAGAAGAGAGCAACTCCAATAACATCAAAGTAGTCCATCATAGCTCGATCAAAGCCACACAACAACTGATAACGCAGGTTTGCATATAGACCAAGGAAGGCCCCATAACCAAGTGCATTGGTACTCACGGATGGAATACTCACAGATAATCTAGCAAAAGCAATTGTCGAGAAACATTTAGACATAAGAAAAGCATCTGAGAGGCTTATTTATTTATCCAAAATACGGATGAGAAAGTAAATATTGTCCATTAATGCACACCTTCCCTCTTTTTTACTGGCAGCAAAATTTGATATAGCACCTTGTGCAGTTCCTGCAGTTAATCCAACCATACACAACTTTGCAGCCTTGTAAAAGAATGATTGGAGTCTCTTCTGTAAATCAAATTCTCTCAGTGGATAACTCTTTTCAAAGATATTATTCGGAAGCTTTTGCAACGTGTTTTCCAGATCAAAGCGGAAAGTACTTCCATACGAACGACAAGGAGCAAGTGACCACACAACAATAGCATTGCAGGCTGTTACGGTGAGCACATTAAGTAGGGCAAGATCCCACTCTTTCTTTATCCTAAAATAAGATAGATAAGCAACAATATTAATCAAATCAATAATATTTTAGGCAAACATTAAGTGTGCTATTCCTTTTTTATTTTTGGGAAAAAAGATTTTGTGGTCCCCCAAGTATATGCTACCTGTTGTTTGGTTATCACTTTCAAAATTTTCATCCCCAGCGGATGGAATCCTCTAACGCTGTTAGGATTCTGCCGCCAGGAAGAAAGAAATGGAAGTACTTAAATGTCCATATAAAAGCATTAGAAGGTTCTGTCTATCAAGGAACAGAGATTGCAACATATTTGCAAGTACTAAAAGCAAGGAACCAAAATTATTAGTGGCATATAATTGAGGAACCAAAAAACATTTTCCCTTTTTTTTTTAATAAGTAAAAGTGTAAGCCTTTTACTTCCAGCAACACAAGTAAAGCAAAAATGATACCTCTCTTTGCGGTTTTTCACCTCCCACCAAACTGAGCACCCAATTGTGGCTGCTTGCTCGAGAAGAAGCTTGTACAAGAATGCAGGATCTGCAATCATCCTGTATAGTTCAGAACCAATTGAGGAAATATCAGGAAAAGGCTGAAAGATATCCAAGTATGTATGAAGATTAGCAGTTGATGGCTAATGGAAGAACAATGTATAACTAGAAAAAAATATTAATCAGTTATCTTAAATTCTTAATCTAGGAAACTTTATAGGAAATTAAAATTAACTTGTATAGTTGTATGCCAGTATTAATACCAAGAGCTAAGCAACTTCTAAATATGCAAAAACGAATTCTAGAGAATAAAAGTAGTAAATTGTATCATTATGCAAGAATATTAACATAGTGATCAATCCCAACTAATCCTACAAAAAGGCCTGTTTCCCTCATCACCAGAGGAGGTGAGGCAAATAAAAAAATTCTGCATTATTTTTACACAATATGGAAGTGCCTATTACCTGCCAATGAACCCCCTTGATAGTCCGTGAGGAAGTGAGCGAGAAATGAACCTAGCTGTAGTAGGCCTGGCATTTATAGCCAAAAATTTCACCATTTGTGCAGAGCTGACAAGACCCTGGGTGCAATCAACATCATAATCACGAAACAGATTGATGTTATTAAACTACCAAAAATAGACACTTTACCATCTCATATGCTTGCCTAAGTCCAGCTGGTAAATCCATCATGGTCCTCTGCCACTCGTTCAGCACCGCATCAACAAATTTTCGGTCAAAAAGCTGGAAAACAATGAAAATGACTATTTGTTCAACTGCATTGATATATCTAAAAGGCCTGTAACCTTTAAGGAAGATGATATACGATGCTTGATTTTAATTGAAAAACTTGGACAAGTGAGTTACCTCTTGAAGAATCATTCGTCTCCTAAAGAGTCCGCCTTCACCACCCTCATCATCATCATCAAAATCATCCATATAATCATCATCATCTCCATCATCATCACCCCCATCACCGCCACCATGAAAAATACTCTTCCCAATATCTCCACCTCCTCCTCCAGTTGCAAGCTGCCATTTAACAAATTATATGCAAACAGTTCAACAAAACAGATGTGGGCACTGCATTTCATTTTAGTATTAGGAAGGAGCCAGCCTTTCCCAGGAATAATTTATATAATTAATCTCTTTAATTGTAAGTTCAAAATTATGATTAACCTGTGTTTGTTTCCCAAACACTTGCTAGAAACTGAAATCAGTATAACTAACGAGAGACAGAATATTTCCTATTATAGATTGATTACTTGAGGTACAGAAGAAACGCTTGCTGCTTCTAGGTGAAGTTACTAATTTCTAATGAATTCTGTGAAATGAAACGAATCGCAAAGAAGAAATAGAACAAAGAATCTCAAATTTGTTGATAGAGTACAAACCTCAGGGCTGGACTTGGTTTGTTTCTGCGTCATATCAAGCTTCGATTTCTCCAAAGTAACTGCACCGAGGGAGCCGTATTTCCCTCCCTTCATAACCGGCGCGTACCTGGCTGGCGACGCCGTCGACGAGGACGAGGAGGGAGAATCCAGCGACGGCGACGCCTGAAAGCAGCGCTCCAGAGCTGCAATGCCATCTCCGTCGACCACGGCGGACGAAGCCTTAATCAAACAGAATTTTCTGAGCTTTCCGGCCACCACCGGCGCCGCGGGC